ACACACCTGCCTCTCTTCGCACGGAGGGGCCCCTCTTGCCCTTGGACGCCTCCTGCACCCCACAAGCGGGCCCCATGCGCCGCTCGAAGCACCCCACGCACAGCGAGTAGGTGCAGTAGGAGCAGACATAACCACCGGTGTTGCGGTAGCGCGGCCGGCCTGTCGCACACCGGCAGGGCCGCCCGGGCTCCTCGTCCTGGACGCCCCTTGTGCCAGTCGCGTCCGTCTGCCGGGCGTCCTCTGTCCCAGTTGCATCCGTCTCCTGGACGGGGCCGCCTGGGTTGGGCTCCGCCGCGGGCCCCATGGTTGTGTCACCGCTGGGGCTTCGAAAGCGAAGGACGCGTGAAAGGGACTCGGGACGAGGGGAGGCCGTGAAGACCTCCGTTTCCGACCTGCCCTGGGACACAACCGCGGCCCTGCCGGGTTGGGCGTCGCGTTTGCGCGCGGTGGAGGTGATGCGGGCGGAGGTGGGGAGGGTTCGGTTGCGGGAGGCGGTGAGACACGGTGGGGAGGCCTCGCGACTCGCGGATGGCGTCTGGGGTGCGTCCTCCTCGAGTGACGATGCCTCATGGGCCTTTGGGGTTTCTTGCTTGGTTACCTCACCTTGGGTTTGGTATGGGCGGGCGGTTGCTGGGGGCTCCGCTGGCCTGCTGGGTACCGCGTCCATGGAGGGCCCGGCCATGTCCTTCATTCCCTCGTCTTTGTCGCCGTCTTGCAGTGGCTCTGATTGCCTTGTCGACGGCATAGTAAGCTCCGGCACAGGCGTTTGATCAAGGACAGGCGGCAGTGGTTGTGGGGTAACCAATGGAGAGGTGTGCAGCTGCTGTGGTGGAGTAGGATCAATGAAGCCGTTCACTTCCCATGGAGGTTGACTAAACTCACTCATGATGAAACAAGAGAGAGATCCCGCGTTGGACTTGCCAAAGGCGTCCAGACTCACTAATCTAATTTATACCCAAATCCAATCCAATTAAGCGCGCGGAAATGATGAGCTATCTTTACCTATAAAGTACACGCAAACCGTCGAGGACGTGAGCTGTGTGATACCCTTTTTCATAATATGATGGGTGACTACTTCCGAAATATTTCGGTACCCCTTAAAAATATAGCAAAAAACGGTGATAGTAGTTCCCCGAGGCACAGAAAAAACGCTGATTTCTAAGTAAGAAACCAAAATGTGTAAACAAAAACAACATGCTATTCAGGGGAAAGACCCCAGTTCACAGAGCATCTCCACGATTAAACAGTGACACATATATATACACACACGCACACGTATATATATATATATATATAAAGACATTAGGGAAAGCGCCTTTAGTCCACCCCTAAAACATCCGATAATAAAGCACCCTGTGTATCCTCTTCCATGAATGCTTTCCATATCCCCATATGGCTTTTTTCACAAACCACTAATGGATTCAACATTATGGATACAAATAACGCGTCGATATTCACTCCAGCGCTGAATCCATCTATCGCCCTAGGATGTCTGTACAGAATGCACACCAATCTCGCTCACTTCACACTCCTCTACCGCCCCATTTCTCTTTACGCCGCCGACAGCTCATAAGACCGAACGTCCTTAGGGAAGCGAGTCGCTTCCGTCCGCGGGTTCAACCTCAGCGAGGTTAACACCTGTGAGTCGTACCAGGGAAGGGTCGAAGCGGAGCCGATGCCGGAGACGGTGGGGCATACCTCTGTGAAGTACTTCTGCGTGGTATCCCGCAACGAGCTGGGGGTGACCGCATCCACGAACTCGAAGACCTCCTGTATCGGCACGCGTCGGCCGAGGTGGATCATCTGCCGGCCGATATCCTCGGCGCTGTTCGTCGTGCTATCCCGCATCATCATGACAGAAGCCTTGTACTCGCACTTGGCTTGCTCCAAGAGGGCCTCGTCGACGGTCGTCGCAGTGAGCTCGTAAAGTGTGCTTAGGATGTAATCGAGCATGATGACCTGCTCGTCGCTGGTACCCATGCCGGGCGCCGTCGGCGGCATGCGCGCGGTTACGATCTGATACCCCAGCAGGGCGGTCTCCTCGTAGGGCGTGTAAAACGGCCGTAGTTGGACGAGGTTCGGCACCCGCTCCCACGGGATCCGCGGATTCAGGCGTTGGTACCCGAACTGATCGAATTGCCCTTCACGGAACTGGCCGATGACGTTGTGGATCAGCTGCAAGGCATAACTATCCGCGCAGGAGGCACCACAAATCGGGAACGCGACGGCGGTGTTTGTCGTCGCCATGGTTTCATTCCACAACACCGTATACCCCCCTGTGTACTGGGCGCAAAGCAGAGGGCGGTTATTGATTGCTGGCAGGTCGCTAAAGAACTTCTCCGCGATCTGGTGCGTCTCATCTGGGCTCAACCCGCCAGAGGACACCAAACACATCCGCGGACCGGTGTAGTGCGTCTTCACGAAGCTTTGAATCATCTCGCGATCGATGTTCCTGGCGATGTTCTCCACCGGGCCGAGAATGGTCAGCGGCAGTCCACTCGTCGTGGGGTCGTAGGCGGCTCGGTGAAGCTCGTCCATGAGGACCTCGTCCACGAGCTCCTCGACCTCGCGCATCTCGGCCAGGATGGTGGGTCGCTCGAGCTCGATGTCTTTTGGCCGGTAGTGGCCGTATTTCAGCAAATCCGCCACCACATCAATCATCATGGGCACGTCGTGGTTAAAAGCCTTCACGTAGTAGGCCGTGCGGTCGCGTGAGGTGTAGGCGTTGAAGTGCGCGCCGTTGTGCTCAAACAAGCTTTCCACCTCTTTCTTCGAGTAGCGGTCCGTTCCCTTGAAATTCATGTGCTCTAAAAAGTGCGCGACCCCGTTGTTGTGGATGTCCTCAAACCGACTTCCTGCGTCGATCCATATGCCTATCGTGGAGAAGGGGCAGCCCTTGATGTACTCCGTGGCTACGCGGAAGCCATTCGGAAGACTGGAGTAGACGACCGGCGTCATCTGATCGAGTGCCTGCCTACAAAGTGAGTCCTTAATGGTCACATTGCGTGGCATCAGGGTGGCTAAAGAGCGACGCAACATGGATCTGTTTTTCCTAATGAAATACGATTTCCGTTATTAAGATTATGATTATATGTGTGTACTTATACCATGCAAGAGGAGGAAATAGGTAGCACCTCCTCAGCCACGGTGAAAAAGAGAAAAAAAAATGTGTCAATAATATGCTATCTATTATTTTTTCCCCGAAATTATGGGGGAGGGTGATATTTTGCGCGACACTATAATCCAATCACAAAACAAACCAGTTATCCATGCATAGATATATCGATAGGTAGATTAACCACTTAATATGAACCGGACATTTTTTATTCAACTTAAGAATACCCTCTCTGGATGCGCAACTGCATTTTTCACTAAGATTAAATCTCAAACTCAAAAGCAAAAAATCATGCTCTCAGACTGAGGCGTGACTTTATTTTACATTAACCCCCTTCCTTAAGTTACCTCTTGGATTTGCCCTATGCCCCACGCGATGACGAGGTGACGTTTAATATCACCCTCCTGAGGGTCTCACTACGTTGCAACTGTTTTTCCAACTCCTCCAAGTCGGCATGCTCACCGTTTTCATCGAGCCAGTCGCCAAGCTCCCTCACCGTGCGTCGCCAATGCTGGACATCGGCTTCTTGACTTGGCGAAAGCCCCTCACATGCCGCTGCATTCGCGCCGGTGCAGAACGTCGCGCCGTTCACTTCCGTCTCCTCTTCTTCACCGTCCATCCAGGTGGCGGTGGTGCGCAGAGCGACCAAATTGCTCTCTATCGCGTTGCGAAGAAGACTGCAGTTCATGTGGTACGCACTTTCCGCCTGCATTTCCCTCAGCAGCTGGCGAGAGGCCTCTATTTCTTCGGGCAGCAAGTTCGCTCCCCGGGGAAGACGCTGCATCCACGACGTCGCTCCATGGATTTTCCCGTTTGGATCTGGGGTTTCCTCGGCCTTGCGATCGTCGCCATAGCCGTCATCAGGGGCAGTTGTGGTTGCCGCGGTGGATGCCATCGATAGCGGTCCAACCGATAAAGCAAAGACGCGAACAAATGTGTTCACGCGCTTTTCATCTCGCGCAGCTTCCGTTGGCTCGACCTCAGTGTTGATGAGGCTTTTATTGGGATTTTCTTCTACCGTCAAGGTCGACTTGGGCGTTGCCTTCGCCACCCTCGTGGCGGGAGGCGAAATCCCGCTCGTCGTAGGGTTTCCCGCTCGATCTCCCGCCGCCTCCACTGCGGGCGTGGCGTTACCTTTTTGGAGGCGAAAATGGGCGTAGGCCTTGCGCAGGTAGGGAATCCCACTCTCACTCACGGCGACCTCCAAGACGACCTCGACCCGCACGACCGAAACCGAATCCTCCGCGGACAGCCTCGCCGTAAGCGCGCGGAGGTCCGACCGGAGATGACGAAGATGGTAATGCTTGATAAAGTACCCGGCGCCGCGGGCGTCTTCGCGCGCATCCGGCTTTCCGTCCCCTTCCAGGGCGCGCCGAAAGACCTCCTGGATGTGCTCCACGGGGGAGACGAGGCTGATGGCGAGATCCTCGACCTCCGTGAAGTCGGGATGGTTCATCACGACGCTGCGCACGCCGGGGATGGGGCTGTCCGGGGGAAACACTGGGCGCACCTCGACCACCGGCGATGCCCCCTCGCCGCGCCTCGTGAGCACGACCCCGATCGCGGCTGGGAGGGTTTCCTCGACGAGGATCCGTTGCGGCGCGGCGTGGATCGCGTGGGCGCCGAGGAACGCCGTCCCCAGCGCCACCGCCTCGTCGGCGTTGAGGGTGCGGCCGACAACCCCGCCCCGGGCGCGCGCCGCGAGCATCGCGAGGAGCCGCGGCATCCGCGTCGCCCCCCCGATGACCTCGAGCGACGGCGGGAGCGAAACGGCGGG